AACGTGTTGCACACTACTTTAGGAATAAAAGCAGTCAGTTTTGTTGTGAAAGCATTACACAGAAAGCCCTCGATGAACTAAAACCCACAGACAAGACCACAAGGTCAACTTTCCTAAGTCTGATATAGCTTGGAGTTGCCAATCCTGTCTAATGGGACAACTAATTACCATATTCCTGCCAGCTGAACAAAATGGGGTTTCACAGAGTATCCAAAGGGTTTATCTCTACCTACTAATTCCCAAGTAAAAGAGTCTTCTGCTCTTCGGCAACGAAGACTGAACCTGAAATACCCATACCTATCATTTCACAAACAGGCACGAGGCCAATAGAGCATACAGTGAATGATCAAAGGCCAAAAATTATCTTCTATAATCTGGAATATGATTTTGACTCTTGAGTAGTTTAAAACAGTTGCATTTTCTTTCCAAATTTCATATCAAAGCAAAATGCAAAGAAGTTGATACCACATCATTTTTATGCTTCATTTTGAACTATTTATTTTGATTTAGAAATAGGATCAAAGAATTCCTCTTTGCTTGATAAGTAAACAGTGACATTTCAATCCAGTAATTATCATATGCATTCCTGAAGGATTCATCACTGTAAGCATCTAGACTGTGCTGACCTGGGGTCACAGACACTATCTTCTATTGCATTCTTAGAGCTATATTTAAACCACACTTCAAATATTCCAAACTATCATGTGTACTGGTTATTACCCTTGCCCTTTCCTAAAGCAAAGTCATACATAAATGTATCACTCTGTGTAGCCATCTTGAAAACCCTGGGCTTCCACTGGGAGGGAAGGGAATCTTTGCCACTATGCTGAGTTTGCATGGCTAGGCCTTGGTAGTGGGAGGGCTACTGAGGTGGCTTCTGTGAGAAGCTGTCAGAAGTTTCCCTTATGTTTGACAAACATTGTCTCATGATCTTTTTGCTATATTTTCTCTCCCCTGCTCAGCTGAAGGTGGGAGTGGTAGGGTGGTTTTGGTGGGCACCTGGCCTTCAGCCAGGATCAACCCACCCCAGCAAGAGCAGCCCCCAGTGCTATTAACACAGCTGGTCTGTAACCACATCTCCAAGCAGCTATGAAAAAGCTTTCAGGGTCACAGTAGTGATTTTCTAGCATATAAAACTGTTATATAGCCATTACTGGAATTTTCCTGTGTGGTTTGAGATACTGTGTGGGAGATAGTTTATGGATGCATCCCCTATGGCCACCTCCACTCTGCAAATACCAGTCAGGACAAGCAGAGATGGCCCAGCTACAATAGGAGAGCAACAACTGAGTCACACAATCTGTGGTGATTTTTTCCTGTCTGCAGAGTGAATGGGGGAGGGTGGTGGTATTTACAAGTACCAATAAATAAGAGTTTCATGAACAGCAAGGAGTTGTGACCTTAGATAATGAGATCACATAACAAACAAAGTTAGGGTGCAAACTTGTTGAGTTAAACCCATTGATATCCACTTAAGGTGCAGCCACCTGTACCATTCCTGCACTATGGCTTTATCATTAAATGTTTGCTGATGATCAATTTACAAATGCCATTCCCACGTCCCACTGTACTATTAACAATAGCAGGGAAGAACTCTCTCTCACAATGTCATGCTCAGATCACAGTCACACTTTTCCATTTGGTTGAGGCCACTTTTGCCTACAGGAGCCCACATTCTTCTGGAAATATCCCAAAAAGCCTTAAAGAATATTTTATCCTCTTTAGCTTTACCAGCAGCCACATTTCTCAAGCTGAAAGGAGCAGCTGTAGAGAGGCCACTGCATCATACATTTTGAAAAATAAGGACTGGATGAATTTGTGTTTTGCCTTTCCTAGATTCATCACTAGCTGAGCTAACAGTGAAATTATTATTCCTATTAGTACTATAGTGGTGACATCTTACAAGTAAGTGTTTTGGACTTCATGCTATGTCTGATTCAAAGAACCCATGGCTCTGTAGCAAACTTAACCTGACATTTTAGTTCAATATTTAACAACTGCTCTGTCTGGAGAGCTCCAAATCATTCATCATTATCTCATTCAAAGTGACAGCACATCAGAAGGGGTGCTACTCATGCCTGTTGTGCCCCTTTATTAGCAGACCTACATAAGAGAATAATTGCAGATTATCATTTTACTGCAATGCTCCCTTACCCTTTCTGCACTAATACCCGTGGAACTACAGCAGATAAAAAAAGGTCACAAGAACTTATAACTGTCTTCTCTGTTTAGCTTCTCTTTCTACTCTTCCATACACTAGAAAAGGACACCAGAATTATTTACTACTTGATGAACATTTCTCAGGAACTCTACAAAGTGCAATGGCTAAACAACAGCTTCCCAAGCATTGGAATTTAATTCTCCTCCTTGATAACCTCCAAGTAGTTTATGTACTTCTAAAGCAATTTTTTTCAGATCTACAGCACACATACACACTTTCAACTGTCCCATACTGAACACTGATTCCCTGGTCATTCAGGAGGTCAAGCAAAACATGTAGTAGCATCTTTCAGGATAGAGCATATTGGCACCTCTTCCATCTAGGTGCCAATTTTCATCAAACTTATAGGATTTATAGGACTTATTTATAGGATTAAAATATCTACATCTTTTCTTCTGTTTGTTTTTGCACTCTAGACAATATAGTCAAAGTTGTGAAGATGCAGTCAGAAAAAAAACAAATATAGGAATAGATGATATGACCATAAGTCTCATTTCCTCTGAAAATCAGGATAAAAAAAAGAACACAATACATGCATGAAGTGAAATTCTTAGTATTAGAGATACTAAGGAAAGTTTTGTAAGGAAAATGAAAATATTCCTAGAAAGTTAATATCTAGTACTAGTGGATTTCTCAGAGAATTAAAGCTGCATTAAAAGATTCAGAAAAAATGGCATAAGTAAATTTTTTGCTCCAAAGCAAAAACCCAACCAAACAAAAAAACCCAAAAAACAAAACAACACAAAACAAACTCCACCAACCCAAAAAACCCCAACCCCCCCTGCCAAAATAAAAAAGCTCAAATCACTACCCAATGGCAACTTAGCAACTGCTTTAGTTTAGTTCTTTAAGCATTACGTTAATGAGATAAAGACGTGCCAAAAAATAGATGGGCAATAATATCTGTAAGGGAAACTGCAGCTGAACAAAACTATGGTTTCTTCCAAGTCTGATAAAACCCCTATCTTCAAGTTGTTGCCCATCTCTGTGATGAGTTTTCCATACAAATAATGAAAATTTGCTTCAAGTTCAGGTTTTTTCCTCCCAAACATCCCATCCTCAGTCTCCTGTACAGCAGTAAGAGGCTCTGAGGAGGCTACTCTCCACAGAGAATCCCACTGTTCTCCTGATGGGAAGAAAGTGTTCAACTAAATTGCCAGTGGGATTTATTTTTAATCTAGAACCAGTTGCAGTGGTGTAATCCAAAAGACACAGATGGTAATCTGTCTAATTTGTACAGAGTAATTAATAGCATAACAACACACTGTCAAAACAGGGCAATAAAAAAAATATCAAGAGCAGGTTTCCCTTTTGACTGGTTGTATTATTTTATCAAAAACTGAGTGTAGATTTTAGATACACTGCAGAGGAAAGAAAATAATAAATTCAATTCAGACCTCATAGTCTGGCAAAGTAAACATGAAACAGCTCCAGAAGGTTTCTGGAAGAAGAAGAAGGAGTTTGAAAAAGATGACAAAACTTTTGCTATCTCGACCTCAACATTTGGCATTGGAAAGGGAGGGCATTATAAAATTATGTTACCTCAGATGAATTAACATGTTAAGTTCTCTAAAGTGTTAATTGATATTTTTCTTTGGCTATAGTCTGAGTTCTCACCATGTGCACCTGGAGCAGTAACCTATCTTAAACAAAGCTATTTTCAATATTTCAGATAGCAAAAAAAATACTAAATATTTTAAATCTCTTTCTGTTCAATAGCCTACCTTATATTTAGATCAATAGGAAATTGCTACTTTTTTATAGTAGCATGTCTTCTTTACCTGAAGATGCTACTTGAACTCAGCTCATCTCTCAAAACTAAAATGTGATTTGCTAGGAAAATCAACCCAAAATTTGGCACCCACTGTCATTGTTAAGAACCCATAGATAGTTTTGAAATGGCTGTAAAAACAGCAGGATGACAAATAGTCACTGGTACTTTTTTTGAGTTGGATTTTTTTTGGTCATTTTTTATGCACATGTCAAAAAACTGTTATTCACCTCATGGCACCCGAGTCAAGACCAGCTCTGATGAAGAGGATAATAAATGACTCCCTAGGTAAAAGCAAATTTATCAGCAGTAGTCTACAGGACTGACAGTTGGGTTATCCACAGTAGGGGCCTTCTCTTGAGTAACACTGTCAGCAAGTTCATGAAAGTCTCCTGTTTCATTCGGTAATACAACACTGACAGAGCAGAAACTCAAGCAACTCTACTGCTATTAGTGTTGCTGACCCGCCTCAGATTACTCATCTGGAGGGTAAAAAAATAAAAACAAAGAAAAAAAACAAAGAAAAAAAAAAAGTGATGTTGAAGCACTAAAGAGCTGTGAGGAAAAAAGAGCTAAAGAGCTATAGGAAATACCCAGGCCACAAGGCTTCACATTTCTGTAGGTGTGTTTTCCTATTAGAGCAAGATTGTCTTATTCAGAAAGGAAAAATTTCTTACGAAGGTTTCTTGTGCTTCAGCTAAATATATAACCTCAGAATTCACACTCCACCCACATCCATCCACTATTGCCATAAGAACATCCATATTTTTTAATAGTAAATTTCATTGGTTTTAAAAAAATACACTGTAGCATTTAGGGACACCGGTTGTTTCACAGACTTGAAATAGCAATTAGAGTATCAAAACAAATCTATTCTGTACAAGCATAGTAAATAGTTTAGAAAAGACAAGTTATGGATCACTATCATGCAACCAAACTCTCTCATACAAACACACAAAAAAAAAAGGAGAAAGTAAAGGATGTATAGAACAAAAAGTTTCCATTGACCTGATTTGTCAGAGATGCTGGCTGTGACTGGCGTGGTGGAGCAGCCCGTGTTAACCTTTGCGCTGTCCTTGGAAGAACCAGCTTTGGGCTTGTTTTTCGTTGCCTCTAGTGCTTTCACCTTCTTGGCATGTTTACTTCCTTTGTAGTGGGCCTCGGCCTGGCTCTACAAAGGAGAACAAATCAGGCTCACTTTTTTTTGCACTTGTATATAATACAATGGATGAGAAGGCAGAAAAGTGACACTTTCAATAGTAGGCACCATATTATTCCACCTAAAAATTTTTAATAGCTTTATACTAACACTTTTCATGGATGTAAGTTCTTCTATATTAAAATGACAGGATTTTAATGAATATTGGATATTTTCAGTAACTTGGAAAAAGAGGTTTCGAGATTACATAAAGCTCTGTTACTCCTAATGAAATTCTTTACTTCTATGGTTCTTAAAGATTTAACGGACTATACAAATGTAAACACATCCAATTCAGAAAGATGCTACTCAATTTTCATGTGGTGTTCCCTAATCTTTATTACTTGCAGTTAGAAAGATGTACTGTGCTGAAACATGATTAAATAATCCATTTTTCCTTCTGTTTGATCTAGTACAGATGTCATAAAATACTTTTACCTTCATATAACAGCAACTGAGACAATTGAAAAAATATTACTTCACTATTAGATAAAAAAATAAGGGTTAAAATGAGGAAACACCATACCTGTAAACTTCAGTAGACCCAAGTACAACATAGAAAACTAAATACGTGCCAGTCTTGATTGCTTTATAAATTGCCTTGAATATTTTTTTTAATACTAAGAAAATCAGAACCTGTAGGACTGGGAGAAGAGGAGCTTTTAAAAATTATTATTATTTATTTTGTCTTAATCTGCCCAAACCAAACAGTATAAATATGTACTGAAATGTTTACTTCGCCTTTGCCTTAAAACTATCTTCAGGAACTAGGTCGATGTTTTTGAAGTTGCACTGCTAAAGCTAGACACATAAATATCTGCCCATTTTTTTCAGTGATATTGAGTCCTCTTCATTGTTCCTGATTCTATATAATCAGATGCCTTGACAAATCAGGCCACTTTGTTATAAACAAAACTAAGAAACTACATACTTAATACAAACTCCAAAGCTTGGAAATTTCAGCTAATGAATTTAAGGGTTTTTCTTGACTTCTTAACAAATTAATTTACCAAATAATGGGCAAGAAAAAAGTCCTCTCCAAACAAGTCTGTTTTCATTACATTGTACTATTCAGCAATAACTTTGCATTATTTATCTTTCCAAACACAGTTTTAAAACATTATTTCAGGCATACCACTAGGTGCCTCTATTGAAGGTTACATATTAACCAAAGAAGTTAATATTGTTGTTTACTTCAAATTAAAACACTCAGAGAAAGCATGCTTCTTCTAAGCACATCTCGGCACCTGGCATATAAAAACAACAGTGCAAGTAAACTTTCACTGTGTTCATGCAAAATCACATTCATTCTCTCTTGTCAATCAATTATCTACTTCTTTATTTAGTTTGCTGTGTTAAATGAAGCGAGCCACGAAACGAGTCACATGCTTTTTATAAAGAGCAACTATAATATCTAGGGTGCTTGAACTCCATAAAGAGTGCTGCCATAATGAGGAAAATTGTTTTAAGACCAGCAGAAATGGGCATTACAATACAGTCACCTTGGGACAGCATGTAATAACAGCTTTATTGTGTGGTAGAGTAGAAGTGAAGAGTAGAAACAGCTGGAGTGGGCAAGAGAACAGACAGCACATTGGAGTCCTCACACAAGTAATTGGCACCATTAAACTGATGGAGAGTTGTTGCTAAAATAGAGGAGTGAAGTTCTTACACACCAGAACTTCTTAAGTGATTTTACAGCCCATGAAACAGTGCTTTTCATCTCAGAAGGACAGTGTATGTTGTTGTGGGTGCATCTTTCCTTTCACAGGAGATTTTAGTAAGCAAGCATTCAAGAAAGGCTGCTAGATTAGTTTTATTTTGAATTCCTCTTTTAAAAACTTTATTATAAAAACAGCAAAGAGTTTACTCACCAATTGCTATTAAAATATTGATTGATTTTAAAACCTTTGAAATATTAACACGCATACAAACACAATTTAAGGATTATAAAGAACCAACTAACCAGCTATACCACTAGTACTATGTGCACTACTTAAAGGGACACTTGTCAACTTCTGGTCGGATCTGTCCAGTTCTGAATGCGGGCAGAGGAGCACAGTCCTGTTTTTGCCCTGCTGTGCCAATGTGCCTTATGAGGCACAGGAATCCCATCCTGTCTCTCTCCACCTTTACTGGGTTTTATCCATTTCTCTTAAGCTTTGCAGTTGTGACATGATGCACCTGAATGGTGTTTTCCACCAACAGAATTCAATAAACTATTCACACATTGCAGTGTACAAAAAATGGAGCTAGGAATTGGGGTGAATAGATACCCTTTCCTTCCCAATACTTTTAAATTTAATAATAGCAAGTACAAGATTGTCTACTCAAGTATCCTCAAGTTGATGATGTCCCTTTAAATATTTGAACTCTATGCTCCGCGCATATGTGTGCTGTTGATAGGATCATATGCTGCCTGAGGCCAAAGCTATGACATAAGAGACATAAATGCAGTCAAGAGAAAGACTTAGTAAGTCAATTGCTTGATAATAAGCCTTTCTGCTGATATTTGCAATAGTAATGCCTGCAATATCAGTAATAACCTACTACAGTTTTTGATTCCCTTCATTCAATCCTCATATAGTGTACATGAGACCTGTTGAGAACAAACAAGCCCAGGCAGAATTAAAATTAAGATTTCCATAACAACAAGCAAAGCTTCATGGAAACATGGTGAATGGACTAATTTTTAAGCTTTCCAATTATCATAAAATATCAAATTCACAGCTGTATGTTAGAAGGCCAAAAAGTATTGCTGTGACCAATCTAAGCAGTGGTTTGGAAATGCCATTCTGCTTCAACACTGCTCAAACTAGGCCGTTCTCCTTTGGGGGCAGGTGGGATTCTCCAGGCTGGATTTTAAAGTAGTTAGGGGATGCAAAATCTGCCTTTAAAAAATTGTTTCAGTGCCTCACTTTTTCAGTTAAGTAGATAGTATTTGTTTCTACATTGACTTTGTCAAGTTTCAGTTGAATATCCAGGGGCTGGATATTGTTAAATCTTTGGGTTTTAGACTTTCTCAACTCATCTCTGTTCTGTGAATAGAAACACAGATACTCTTTCCAAGCATGAAGTTAGAGGAGCATTCCTTAAAGTATGGAAGCAATCTTTCCTAACCACATAAGCACTATTTTCTAGTCCTTTCAGATTTTCAGATACACTTGAAGTTCAGAGTTTTCTTTTTTGCACTGTGGGATAAATAATTTGATTCAGCTGCCTTTTGGTAACTGAAATGCTGTATTACCGTGTTACGTAAACCTTTGGAGTTTTCTGGAGACACAGAAAGCAAAAGGAAAAAGGGCAGCTGAAGCAATCTGAAATTGGAACTCAAGTTCTGATTATTACTGATACCAATTATTGTGATTATTAATCTCCTGATCATTAATAATTCTAATTTTATAAAATATTTGTAAAAGTAACATATTCAGGGCAAATGTATTTGTTCCAAGTCTCACTTAAAACTTGCTTATGACATAAATACAGCATTTGAGCAGAAGCTATAAGCATTGTATATCCTTGAAATAAGCCATGATGTATACAATTTTCATTTTTAGTTAAGGCAAGAAGCTGAAAATTTGTTTTCATTTGCTCTGGTAATCCATAGGAAGTTGTGTACACATAGGGTTCAAAATTCATGTGCATAAAAGAAAGATACTTTACCAATTTTAATAAAAACAGCCATTAAAATACAAAGTTAACTTAAGAGTAAATATCTTTGGGATACAACATTTTAAATGGATACTGAAGGTACTTTTTGATCATCATTAAGTACAACTAATTCATGCAAATTGTTTGTCAGCAAAACAATACTTAAGAAAATAAAAAAATATCAGGAAAAACCAAAATGAAAATCTGTTAACTCAAAATATCTTTCCATACTCCTGTATTATAATGATTTTAATTGCAAAATACTTTATTCCAGTGTAAACAGCTGCATTTACTGTAGGGATTAATTCATTCAACAGTAAAATAATTTATCTGTGCCACAATTCAACATTATTTAAATATTTATTTTTCATTTCAAAAATATTATGTTACATCTATTGCTTACATAGCTGGTATTAAACCTCACCATTGAATTATCATTATTAAAATTTTGAAATTAAATGCATAATAGGTTAGAAGGACACTTTTTGAGAAAGTGGAATAAGAAAATATTTCTATGAAAGAACTCTTTAACTCAATGGAAAGTTTAATTTTTAATTGAATCTAAAACTGTGACCTAGTAGCTTGATATATATACATTGTAAAATTTTAAAAAAGAGCCTGCCTACTTATTAGACAGCAAGGAAGGTCATCAAGTATTGGCTAGTAAGGTTTAATGAACCAGAAAAGCTTCAAGCTGCCATAAATACGACATTATGAATCAGAATGTAAAAAATACCTTTGTACTGACAGGCCAAATTCCAAAACAGTGTTTATGCATTTGTCTGGCATTATTTTTTGATCAATGGGATGCATGTTTTATAACACTAAAAAAAATATGTCTACATATTTTTAAGACCATGGCTTAGTGAATAGCTGCACTTTAAATTGTTGCAAATAATTAAGAATATAATTGACAGACAAATAACCATGTAAGTTTTCCCCATAATTTTTCTAATTTATTCACGTTAAAGTTTATACACCTTAGTTCTATCCACAGTCTTTTAGTACCAATTAAATACCTCTAACCAATCAAACTTTATGAATGTTTTAATTTTTTAAGAAAGCCCCTATGTCATAAGGATTAATAACTTGGCTGTAAGAAAGGATAGTTTTTTCTGCTCTTAAAAATGATACAAATGCAATATTTTATTTAAAATTGCTACTTGTAATTACAAATTATTAAATTTGAAATCCAAGCAGGATGTTAAACTGTATGACTACATACAATACAAATACAATAGCCTTATATACTAGACTGCATTTAATAAAAATCAACAATTTAAATTATCTTCAACATGTAAACATGCTTTTGAAATTCAATG